GGGAATTATTTGTGCATGGCTGCACAGGCACACACCTTAGCGGGAACTGTGCTCCACATGCTCCTTTGCCATACCAGAATCACCTCCTTTTGTCCCCAGGACAGGGGGTATAGTTTGCTCCTTTCCCACCATGCTCCCCATCTCCACCCTGCTAGGAATTATGTGTTACCCCCTCCCCCATTTGCCCACACCTCCATAGCAAGCACCCCCATTTCCATCATCAATGTTATCCTCATCCAAATCTCCTTAGAGCTTTCCCCTCCCTGTGAGAGCCAGTTGCTTTCCATGGGCTCCTGAAAACATCTCTTGTTTCTGTGAAGTCTGCTTGCAGTGGTATCCTAAATGTGGGTGGCTTTAAGTCACCCCCTCCAAACCCCAGAGGCCGGGCATTTGCAAGCCAAGGTATTTATAGGAGTAGGCCCACGGAAGGAGTGAATTTAGGGCCTGATGTTGTTAATCGTTACCTATGTTCTTCCTGTAACTTTGCTGAGACTTCTCCTACCAGTGAAATGACACAAATGCTGAACTGTGTGTTTGCAAGATTGGGCTCTCCCAGTCATTTTGAAAATAAACATCCTGGTTAGCTTTAGCCACAAATCTCACAAGGTCCCCAAACTGAGCCATGCTAACAAGGGGGGGGGGAAGAAAGAGAAAAAAAAAGACATCTCGTCTCCCCACCCATCCTTACGTTTAAAATTCTACTTCCTTTTGCCCCGTCTGACACCATCCCTGTGGCATTCTAAATATGCTCCCACCTAAGCACTAATTCAAAGGTTAAAAGATTATTTTAAAATTCCTATGTTGATTAAAAGGGAAAGAAAAAAGCAAAAGTCCCAGGGAAACAGGAGCAATTGCAGTGATATAACTCACCCGAGTGGCTGACAGAGGCACGTAAGCAGCGTGTGCTAGGCAACATTACTAGAAAAATCCCCTTTCAGCTGCCAAACTTGTTCATAGTCTGCCTTCCTCACTACCCAGCTTCTTATTTGATCTCCGGTCCCATTCCCCAGCTGCCACACAGTCCTGAAATCATCCAGTAGCCACTGAGATCCTCCCGTCCATTTCTCCAGATCAACTGCAAACCCCTCCCATGCTCCACCACATGAAGTGGGTTTTACCCACAAAAGCTCATGCCCTAGTGATTCTGTTAGTCACAGAATTGCCACAGGACTCCTTGTTTGTTGCAGATAGACTAACATGGCTACCCCCACATGAAAGTTCAACGCTCTTCATCTTCTCAAAAGGAATGGAACAGAACTTAAACCCTGCCCAGAGCGAGGATGCTTATACAGGACAGACGAGGTGGGTGAGAGAATATTTATTGGACCAACTTCTGTTGATGGGAAGAGACAGGCTGACTGACTACACAAAAGAAGAGCTCTGTATAGCTTGAAACCTTATCCCTTTCACCAGTAGAAGTCAGGCCATTCAAAGATATTGCCTCATCGCCTTTGTGTCTCTAATATCCTGGGACCAACAGGGTTACACCACCACTGCAAACAAGGGTTATATAAATTACTTGGCTCTCCTCCCCATCCCCGCCAACTGTTTATAGGCACTTTATTGTAATACTATATATGAGAGAAAATAGATGGAAAGACCTGTTATATCACTGGTTTTGTTGTTTAGCTATGTAACTGCAGTATGTTGGCCCCCAAGTGCATGGGGAAGGATAGCTGAGGAAAAGGGTGAAATAGCTAATTGCTGGTTTTTGTTTGCTCTGCGCACTGTGTTTATTCAATGACAGTGCAGTCTTTTTGCATGTAGGGACAATGTTATTTCACCTCCTTTGCAAAGCCCTTTGAGAGCTACAGATAAGCCATAGTGTATAAGAGCTAAGTATTGTCATTATGGCTCTACTGCACAATCCCAAATTCCACACATACCGTCCAAGCAAATACAATCCCCACCCAGTTACCTAATAAAAGCCACCTTCTTCCACTGATGACACCTACAAAATCAGTTTTGCTTTGTCACTCCAAAAATCTGTACCAAAGTGAAAACGTACAGAGTCAAATAAATGTAATAGAAAAACAAATGACACACATTTTACAATCTAAAACCAAACAAGATGGGGTTGTCACAGACAGGAGGGAAGAGGGCATGGGGGACAAAGGTAATGGTAATAAAGTCACCAGCTTTCGCTGGCTAACAGTCTCATAGCTCTGAATCATTTGAGAGAATATTCCATTTGTAAATAAATGAAACCTTGCCACTGATTGTAGGTGGTTTGCCGCATACTTGGCCTTGAGTTATGCAAAAATGAGAATGACTTACATTTATAAAGAATCTTTCCCTCAGAAGGATCCCCAAATATTTTACAAACTATTAATCCAACTCTGCATCAATTTAAGCAACATAATTTGGGCTCCTATGCTCCATGGTAATACAAATTAAATCATCATCTTCATCATGTCTAGATTAGCTATTGATCCCATGCTCAAGTTCATACTTAAGTCCCTGCAGAAGCATGGTTAAGAGTAAGACACAGGTATCATTGCCCCCCCTCTGCTGACATGCAGCTTCCTGCAGGGTGGAATGTGACATTTATATATCAAACAGCATAGCACCACTACCGCAGTTTAGGACAGAGCAGAAGAACTACTGTACGCTGCAGGGAGAAATTTAACTGCAGACACTGAATTATGGCCAACACACTGAGTTAACAATCTCTCCCCCATCCCCAGTCACGCTTGCAAAGCATTCCATGGATTCTTTAATGACTCAGGCCTCTGAGATCTGTTTCAGAGCTCATCCTAAAGGGGTATTAGATATTAGACAAGATCACAAAGAGATAAACAGATATTAGACAAGATCACAAAGATAACCATATTTTTGTCATAAATATTGTATTTGTTTTTATTCAAGTACACAGTCCTATAATGCACAATGATTTTCCTTCACATATATATAAAACAAAGGCAATTTCTTGCAGCTACTGGATCCTTGTGTACTGCTGGAGAAACAGGAAAGAAAAATATCCTCTCTCTCTCTCCTCCCTCCCCTCCCCCCGATGAAAAATATCCTCTCTCTCCTCCCTCCCCTCCCCCCGAAAAGCTCTTGTTCTTGTGATTACTTCGGTGGGTTTTTTCTTTCAAGTTATGAAACCTGAGAAAGAGCATCATTAAAAATATCCACCAATAAGGGCTTGATTCTGTGAAATCAAAGTCAGAGTAGGATTTGACTGTCAGACTTGGTCTGCACTATTCCCTTATGTCAGTGTTACTATGTCACTTGCAGGTATGGAAAATCCACACCCGAGTGACATTGTTGTATCAACCCAATTCCCAGCACAGACTGTGCTTCATATACGAGAGCTTCTCCTACTGACATAACTACCACCTCTCAGTGAGGTGGAATTAACTACAGGCTATATATAGTGCTATATAGTAAGATGAGCCCCAAGTCTCCATCCAACATTGTTCTTCATGATGCCCTCCCTGGTTTTGGAATAGCGACTTTGTCACAGTTTGTTATTCCCCTCTTCTTCACTCTCCCCTCCCCAATGGTTTGTCCTTAGTGATAGTGAACAGCTTGGGTTTGGTGTGGGGAGCTTTTGCAAACTGTCTGAACTTCCTGAGGCTGCAATGGTGGTCTGCTTTTCTGGCCATAAAACAGACATGAACAAACACCCAAATACTTGCAAGAGAGTTGATGTATTGTGTATATCCCAGCAAACAAAAAGTAACAGACACCATTCCTAACCATAAATACGTTATCATTTATCAAACCCGTGTACATACTAGAGTAGATTAAAAACACAGACTTGTTGCTTAGGAAAAGCTAAAACTGCTCTTGAACTGCTCAGAACACATGCTTGAAGCCCAGGCTATAATGGGCTGTAAAAAGTGATTTTGTTTTCTCTTGCTGTGCACTTAATTCCTTCTGTGGTTTTGCAGTTCAAACAAGCAGCTCTTCTGAGCTCTGCTGACAGCTCTTGGAATGGATGCCAAAGCATCAAAATCATGTGAGACCCCAAAAATAAGTAATTGCTCCCAAATCATGATTTTTTTTTTAAAGTTAAGATTACAGTGTGCGTTTCGGCTGCCTTTGGAATTTGATAGAAATGCAGCCGTGTTAGTCTGGTGTAGCTGAAACAAAATACAGGACTGTATTTTGGAATTTGAGACTCCCCTGCCCATCCCCAGCATGCCTGTGTGACAATTACAGTCCTGAGAGTCTTCATACCTCTCACCCAGGCCCATGAGAGAAGGCTGCTGCAGGGTCCCCTCTTCTCCTTCCCAGGCCAGGTGTGGCAGGGATGGAGGGGAGATAGAGGAGGAGCAGAAGAGTCATCCCATTGTTCACTGGAGGGGAGGAGGTAAAAGGAAGCAGAGCTGACCTGACCTACTTGGTTCTACCTGTTCCTTCCACCTGTAAGAAAGGGGTCTGCCCCTGAAGGGAGGGGGAAGAGAGCTCTGATTGGCAGCTCTTCCCAGAAGGGTTGTGGGTGGGGAAGGTTTTCCTCAGGCAAGGGTGAAATTTGGTAGAGGGCTGGAGCTTCTCCTGACATGGATCCAGCTCCAGCCGAAATCATGCATCTGTTGAGAGTGTGCAAAGGTGTTAATTAACACTGAGGTGGAGTTAATTAACCATGAAAACAGCAAGAGACAAGTCAGATAAAACCAGTGCAATAAGAGCCATATATTAACATTACGATGCAACATCAGCAGAGATGATGAGGGGGTAATCTTGGTATAACTGCTCATCTTAATTCAACATTCTTCTTTAGTCAGATCATCTGATCCAGAGATTTCTTTGATGTCATTTTGGATGAAATCAAACGTATGGGACCAAGGATTCGTAAATTAAACTCTTAGCCAAGTCAGTTTGAAAAATCTTCAGTGGCTTATTTCAGATTCATCTGAGGCAATCGATCCTCTGGATGAAGCAACTTTTTGGTACTGGCTTTTATCCTTTTGGGTAATGAAGTTCAGGAGATCCATAGCTGTGACCACTCCAAATACCACCTGTTTCTTTGAATAACTGCCATCTCCAACATCTGTAAGCACACAGCAAACTACATTACTGAGATGTCTGAAAAAGCAATCCAGAAATGGCTGGTATTTTATAAAGATAAGATGTCAAACGAGAGATGTGAATGGTTAACTGGTTAATTGGTAAGCAACACTCTTATCGGGTGATGCTTACTATTACAGTTAACCAGCGGCTCGATCCCCTGCCCACCCCCATTTAAGCAGTTAACCCATTAAACAAGATATTTAACCAGTTAACTAATTAAACTGGATTTTACATCCCTCCCTCAAAAAGGGCAGCATTATCCCTTATATGATTCTACTGAAAATGATTCTAGGTACAATCCCACCAGCAGCAAGTCAAGTGACATCAGGATCACATGGGGCAAGAGCAAATTCTTTACCACTACAAAGAGTCCAATTCGTCCCTTGCTCTTACAAGACCTTTTGTTCCAATGACTCTTGCTTTCCCCATCCCATATCAATGATAATCTTTAACAGCAGTAGTGATACTTTTATTTCTGAACAACCCTTCTGCCCCACTTCTGCTTATATAGCGCTGTACCACACCAATACCAAGCAATATACAGTGCAATAAAGTATAACTTAAAAACCAACCAACCTTGTCCTCTTAAAAGCAAACAAATAAAAACCAGGTGGGGTTTACTAAATGAAAGAATAAAGTACGTGTTGGGAGGGATGGGACAAAAGTAATAAAAATAAGGTGAACTGTGGTCAGAACCTGTGGACTAGAAAAAGTGTGCAAAAAGGTGAAATGAGGTGACTCTAGCTAGCTGAAATTTTTCCAGCAACATTTTTTTTCCCAGTGAAAAATGCAATTTTGTCAAACTCAAAAGGTTTAATAAAAATGTGATTTTGAAGAATTTTTTTGACAAAAAAAATAATGAACATTTGAAGGGGGGGGGGGGGGGGGGTTGGTTGTGTGTGTGTGGAAAAAGAATCAAAATCTTCCACACACATTTTTGAATCAAATTGTTCTTAACATTTTGCAGAAATATAGATTTTTTTTTCAACCCTCTACAGCTCTCATTGATGGCCAGGCACCCTTCCCTTTCCCATCCCTTGTTCCCTCTCCTCCCTTCCCCTCCCCCTGCAAAAAAAAGAAAAAAAAAGGGGGGGTATAATCACAGAGGGAGTCTCAGAGTCATAGCTTGATTTGCTCATGGTGGGAGGTGCATATGGATTTGGAGGATCTGAGTTCAGCCTGCTATGGCCTGACCCTAAAACTCCAGACCCATTGGCAGGTGGCAAGCCAACATAGCACGCTATTTCACTAGCTCATGTACATGAGCAGGCTATAAATTGAACATTGTTTTCTCATACAATCAGCCTAATTACACCCTGAAGTTCTGACAATATCCAGAACACGGTTATCTTGACTGCTTTGTGTCAGTGAAATCTCAAACCAAGCATTTCTTTTAAGATAAGGCATAGTCTACTCTTACAATTTTTTGCCACATAACTATGTGGCAAGGGGTGTTATTTTTGCCAGCATAAGTAGGTCTCCAAAAGCCCTGAGCCAGAAGAAGCTATTTCACTATCAGCACTTTTAGCCCAGTATAGCTGCATCAACAGGGAAGTTTTGTGGCAGCATAGATAAAGTGGCAACACTTTTAAGGGTAGGAAAGGCGTAAGAAATTATCCCCTTTATAAACACTGTTTGCTGAGGCTATGATTACTCTACAGAGCTTGGTGGTGTGGGCAGAAGAAGCTCTTCCCACCAAGAAAGTGCAGTCCATACCACTGCTCCAGTTGGTGCAACTTACCTCGCTCAGAGAAGTGGCTTATTCACACCCCTGAGTGACATAACGGATACCGACCTATGGTGTAATGTGTGCCCAGCCTGAGAAACTGACTGCCATTGACACGGGCTCTCCAGGGCAGGGGTTGCCATGTACTTTATACCTGTACAGCACCACGCCCAGTAGGGTTCTGGACTGGCTGGAGTCTCAATTCTTGTAAAGAACGACAGAGCTAACTTTTCCCTACCTTACTCACCTAACTTCACCCCACCCATCCAAGTTCAAGTGCCAGCTAAGGAGACAAGAACGAGACTCTCAAGAGTGAGTCTACGCAGCAACTAGACACCCTGTGCTGGCTGATTCAGGCTCCTGGGGCTGTTTCATTGCTGTGTAGACATCAGGGCTCAGGCTGGAGCCCTGGCCATAGGACCCCGCGAGATGGGGGCACCCCAGAGTTTGGATTCCAGCCGGAGCCCAGACACAGCAATGAAACAGCCTCACAGGCAGCGCCAGCCCCAGGAGCTTGAGAGGGGCGACACAGGCCAGCCACGGGTTTTTCCTTGCGGTGTAGACATACCCACTGTGGCGCATATGCACGGTGTTATTCCTCAGCTGGCCAAAAGTGTCCCGCTGAAGTACTGTGAAATATCCCTTCCCCCTCACAGCTAAGCCAGCTGCCTCAGCCTGCAACCTGGAAGAGCAAGCGAGGAGAGAGAGCACTCGCTCCTCCATCTGCACGGCCATATGGGAACTCTTGGGGCCAAGCCCAGGGTTTCTCTGGCCCTCTGTGGCATTCTCAGAGGTATGTATGCTCGTCCTCAGGTCTCCTCTCTGGGGTAGTAACACTGCTCTCCACAGCATTAACCTGTGTAAACCCATTTCTGCAGCAGCTGCTGCACAGAGACAGCCGGACTCAGCTATGGCTCTTCTAGGGACAGTTTTACTACAGTCATGTGCAAAGGCTCCAGCTGAGGTCAGGACACTATTGTGCTAGGTGTTATATGAGACCACGGTAAAGAACAAAACTCCCCAGAAAAACTTACGATTCAAGCAGACAACAGGTGAGAATAAGGCAGTACTGTTACCCCTACTTTAAAGATGGGAAACTGAGGCACAGAGCCTGCATGACTAGCCCAAGGTTATACACACAGTCTGGAGCAGAGCTAAGACGAGCTTTGACTTCCTGAGACTGGTGCCTTTTTACCACAGACTAGGCTTCCTCCTTTGATCATCGGGCCTCAAAAAGACACGCTTTACAACAGCCGTAGGGGTGGCGCTAAAATAAATCTGTTTGCGTCCAGCTGTAAATAATCAGAACAGGAACCTTAGTGCATCCAGCTCCCCTTGCTGCTACTTTGGCTTTGGAGAAGGGTGAATGGCCAGGGGAAAAATCCCACCTGCGGGAGAAGCATAGTGTTGCAGCTGCCAGCATAGGGTACCTTCATAGCTGCTGGTACCTTCATAGCCCCATTGTCAGGATTCCATTCCTCCCCCTCCCCACGAGAATGCCTGTACAAAACTCATATAATCTGGTCAATGTAGCGGCCAGAATCTGACTTTTAAAGCAGTCCTTCCCTGTACGTCATTAAAAGATACTTACATTGCACTTGGTCATGTACAACTATAGCAAAATGATCATCCACCAGGATATTAGAGAGGTTTCCAAGGTTGTCATCCAGGCTAATCTAAAGAGAGAGGACAAAAAAAAAGACATTTAAACACTTCACTTTTGAGACAGCATTAGGGACCCAACTTCTTATTTTCAAAGCACAGTCCAGGCAGTACAGAGGTGGAGGAAGAGGAATATCAGAAGGTACAGGTGCACTGATGCCTGGAGCTTTGAGGAGTGCAGGGGGCACACAAAAACAAGCACAAAGGTCCACACCAGATATAGTTTGGAGAAGCTCCATAAACCCCCCTGGAGCTGTGTCAGTCTACACCATCTGAGGATCTGCTTCAAAGTCAGGAATCATCCCCAGAGCTTGCCTAGGGGCAGAGAAGTTGGGGACTACCACTTTCCCTCTCCCTCCTTTGCAGAGCTGCAGAAAGCCAGACATAGTTCAATTTATAATTAGGCAACTCATACAGAGGGAAGCATCGGACACACAGGCTACAGGGTCAGTTCTGCCAAGTGCAGAATTCTACCAATTCAGCAGCTGTTTCGCACTGCATGAGTGGGAGCAGGAGCAGATCCCCATATTGGCAAAAACATTTTCTCACTGCATGAGTGGGAGCAGGAGCAGAAGCAGATCCCCATATTGGCAAAAACATTCTTATCATGTATCTATGATAATGAGGGTCACTCAGAGTTGTCAAGTTTCTCCAGCTAGACACAATCCTTGCTTTATACTTTGCCTAAAAATGCAAATGATAGATCCTGGCAGGCAGGTTTTTCATCATTTCAGTATGATCCTTTCCTTCAGTCTCTCTCTACCCCACTTCAATTCCCTGTCCCCACTCCTCCTGCTGCTCTCATTTCTACTTTCTTACTCACTTCCCACCGCCTCTCATCTGCTGTCTCTCCCTCTTGCTCATCCCATTCCTTTCCCTCCCTTCCTCCTCCTCCTCGGCATGGGGAACATACCTTCTTTCTGGTTTGGGTGGTGCCTAACTCACCTCTGGGCTCTATTTGAAACAAATCAGTAGCGATTGCAATACCTTTGAAAATTGATCGTGGATGACTTTGAGAACTGGGTCCGAGATCTGAGCATTTCCAGTCAGCACGGAGGAGAGGATATTACTAAGAGTCACCATTCCCATAATGTGACTGGAAGAGAACAGGGAGATTTGCAAAGGGTTAAGCTTGAGGTGGTCAAATGTTAAACAGCTAAGCTTTTAGGGCCCAATCCTGCTCCCTTTGATGCCAGTGACAAAGTTTCCATTGCTTTCACTGGGAGAAGGAGGTGGCCCTTAGTTCATGCAAGCATCTTTTAGTGTCTAACAGTAAAAACAAGGCTGAGAAATTGTTGGGTCATGTCTTTCTTTCCTCCTCCCTGGGCTATAGCGCTAGCCATTTCTCCTGTACCATCCTCAGTCATTTTCCACCACAGAAGAACATATTTCTGACTTGTATACCGCCTGGTGTGGAAGGAAGCAGCCAAGCAAAGTGCACAGCAAGGAAACAATAACAGCACAACATTTAGATGCTAATACCGAGAGACAAGGATACAATTTCAGTCTGGGAATTTTCCATCTCCAAGCCGGAGCCTGGGGCCAGATCATTAATAGCTGAGATACGCTGGGCTGTAGGAATAGCTCAACTGGTTTAGCCAGTGAGGGACTCCATTGTCTATCCCTCAGCTGCTGCTGCAGCTGTTCCATTACATCATGCATTCTGCAGAGGGGGAGCCTATCCCCAATAAAGAGTTTTTAACAGCAATTATTGCCTGAAATTTGCAGCCCAGGACTTAACTGTTTGAAGAACAGTCAGCTAATGGGCATGTGCTGTCATTTACCAGTGTTTCATCTCTATTCCTTCCCTTTCCTGTGCACTTTGTTGTGTAGGGGTCTGATCCAACGCCCACTGACTTTGTATATAACACTTCCTTGATGGGCAAGATCTGTTATTACGGTGTATAGCAAAAATGAGAAAGCTGATCCTAGAGGGGCTGAGTATGTGCACTCCCACGCCACACAATGGAGCTCAGCATCTATCTGGATTAGGCCTGCATTAATATTTTTCACTTTACCCTACAGGCAATTAAATGGTACATTAAAAAGTGTACTGACTGGACAGAATGAATCTGGTTTATTGTGCAATTCTAAAGTATTTTGTCCTTAGTTTCCTCATTGCTGTTACTCATGTACATAATTGTCCACCCAAGTAAAAGAGATACCCAGATTCAGCAACCACCGGTGCCTGGTCGTAGCCCTTCTCCTTGAGGATTTCGATTGCTGTTTGGCAATTGACCTCTGGGACAAGCAGCAGAGGAGGCAGGAGATTCAGCTTCTGCACCTTGACATTCCACCACCTATTGGAAAATGACAGCAAATGATCTGAGGAAGTGGATCTGGCCCACGAAAGCTCATCACCTATTAAATCATCTTGTTAGTCTTTAAAGTGCTACATAGTCCTGTTTTTTGTTTCACCAAATGATTGTTATTCACAAGCAGGAGACATTTGTGGGGCTGTCTTGTTCAGACAGAGCTCATTCAGACACAGACTAAAATACAGGCAGATTTAGACAGAGGTCATCATCACACTTGAGCTCAGTGACACCTGACTCAGGGCTTGAGCCTGTGGTGTTGAGCACGCTGCCTCTAATTTAACCAAGCCCTCAAGCTAGTTCGGAACCATAAAAAGGTGAGCATTTTCACTTGACTTTACTTCTTTTGTTTGTAGCCCTATTTCTAAAGGCCCAGGGCTTGTAACTTCAGCACAAAAAGAGAGTCCTACGATGCAGCAGCTGTGGCTTCTGGAAGAAGGTTTGGATAAGTCCGGTTCTCAGTGAATAGAAGGAAATCTGCAAGTCCTCTGACGTTAAAGGGCCCCAATCTAGCAGAAAAAGGCAAAGCAAGATCCGACAGCTATAAGCAGAAAACTTCAACTGGAAATAAGTTAGCTTATGTAGTAAGGAAGACTGTATCCCCTCCACAACAAGAGTCACTTGATGAATTTCTGTGGCCTGTGTAATTCAGGAAGTCAGACTAGATGATCATCATGATGCCTGCCTTGTGCCCTCCGAATCCAGTAATCTAAAATTTGGTCTTTTATATTTTCTGAATAGAAAATGGAGCTATTTTAAAAGGTCCTCCTCCTCTGTTGTCTCTTACTATTGTCCAAACGGGTATGCTGGAAGCAGCCTTGCTGGAGAGGATATTTGACATTGACCCAGAAATTCATTCCAAATTGTTCCTCACTGTGGACAGATATAACAGCTTGGTCTGTGTGAAAGAATTCATTTCTGCAGAAAATAAACTCCTTCTTTTTGAGCTAGACTAATAGCCATGGAAACCCACATTTGAAAGAGATGTAATCTTGTTGGAATAGAGTTGACTAACTTGTCAAGGGGACTGAACTGCATTAACCCCCCTTTCCTAAAAATAGATGATCATTTCCAGTCATAAAATTGGAATTGTAGGATTGGAAGGGAACTCGAGAGGTCATCTAGTGCAGTTCTCTGCATTCATGTCAGATGCATATCAATAGTACAGTCATATAACTGGAATTGTAAGATTGGAAGGGAACTCGAGAGGTCATCTAGTGCAGTTCTCTGCATTCATGTCAGGACTAAACATTATCTAGACCATTCCTGACAGCTGTCTATCTAACCTGCTCTTAAAAATCTCCAATGATGGAGATTCTACAGCCTTTCTGGGCAATTTATTCCAGTGCTTAACCATCCCAACAGGAAGTTTTTCATAATGTCCAACCTATATAACCCTTGTTGCAGTTTAAACCCATTGCTTCTTGTCCTAGCCTCAGAGATTAAAGGAGAATAATTTGTATTCATCTTCCTTGTAACAACTTTTTATATATACTCAAAAACTGTTATCACATTCCCTCTCCGCCTTTTCTTCTCCAAACTAAAACAAACCCAGTTCTTTCAATCTTCCTTCATAGGTCATGTTTTCTAGATTTTTAATAATTTTTGTTGCTCTTCAGTGGACTTTCTCCAGTTTCTTCCCATCTTTCCTAAAATGTGGCAACCAGAATTAGATATTACTCCAGTTGAGGCCTAACGTGGAAAAATTACTTCTTGTGTCTTGCTTACAACACTCCGTTAATGCATCCCATCTCAGAATGATGTTAGTTTGTTTTGCAACAGTGTCACACTGTTGACTCGTATTTAGCTTGTGATCCACTCTTACTCCAAGATCCTTTTCTGCAGTACTCCTTCCTAGGCAGTTATTTCCCATTCTGAATGTATAAATCTGAATGTATAAATCCTTTCTATGTAAAGTACTTTGCAGCATTTGTCTTTATTGAACTTCACCCTACTTTCTTCAGACCATTTCCCCAGTTTGTCAAGATCATTTTGAATTTCAGTCCTTCAAAGCACTTGCAACCCCAGCTTGGTATCCTATGCAAATGTCTTTTATGTATTCTCTATTCCATTATCTAACTCAGTGATAAATGTATCCAACAGAACTGGATCCAGAACTGATCCCTGCAGGACCCCACTTGATATGAACTTCCAGCTTGACTATGAACCACGGATAACTACTTTCAAATAATGTTTTTCAACTAGTTATGCATCCGTCTTATTGTTGAGCCATCTAGGTTGTATTTCCCTAGGTCGTTTACGAGAAAGTCCTGTGAGATATATCAAAAGCCTTACTGAAGTCAAGATTTCCCTAACAATGTGTGTAGTTAATGTAGAGGGGAGTAGATCCTTACCAAGGTTTGCATTCCTGGACATTTTTTAGAAATCCATTCTTGCTCATCCACTTGTCATTCAAGAATTTGGACCTAGAAATTGTTAGCAAAGAACAAGGAAGAAATTTGTAAATGCCGCTAACAAGAAACGGTGGGATTTTTAAAGAATCCATTAGACCTCAGTGTTTCATCATGGCTCCCATGGTTTGTACAATCAGCTGTTGTTGACCCTTTTGGAGGGGAATGAGAGGTGCAGGTGAATTTAAACCAGTTCTGTAGGTACATAAGTTGAAGCACCCAAGTCTGAAAATTTCAGTCTAGGTGATTTTTCTTGGAGCATAAATCAGTGATGAGTACAATAAAATCCAAGTGCTCTAACTCCCTGCCCTTTGCTCTTACCACTACACTATAATGTTATCACTACACTGTAATGTTTTGCACTACTACTTTAATATCCATGAGGACTGAAAAGGTTCCCATGAGTAAGATAAATTGACTTCTTATTTATGGTCTTATTCACCACTCCTGCTTTATGGTGGTGTAACGCCACTGATTTACAGGTACCTGCTTTCAGTGGTGGTACCCTGGTAAAACAGAGTAATTAAGCGGTTCCATAGTGTTTTCTCCTCTACCCACTGATTGAACATATTCCCCTCTTCCGCAGAGAATAATTGACCATGTGACAACAAAGCTTTTGTATGGCCATGTTATTCATTTGATCCATGAATGTCATTGGCATCGATATGGCTGAATGCCATGCTGCCTGAGAAAGCAGCAGGTAGGAAGCACTACAAAAGAGGAATCTTACATGTAGTTCCTGACGGAGTCGGGCAAGATGACAACACAGCGCTGACCCTCCGTCAGATCTTTGGCAGCCTTCACAGCAACGGACATTGCACTGCCGGAGCTGCCACCTGAAGTATGAACAAGGAACAGACATACACAAGAGCTAACGGTATATGAGACTATAAAATACCATCCCTGTTGACTCATATCCAGCTTCTCATCCACAGTAATCCCTAGGTCCTTTTCTGTAGAACTGTTACTCAGCCAGTCGGTCCCCAGCCTGTAACAATGCTTGGGATTCTTCCGTCCCAAGTGCAGGACTCTGCACTTGTCCTTGTTGAACCTCATCAGATTTCTTTTGGCCCAATCCTCCAATTTGTCTAGGTCACTCTGGACCCTATACCTACCCTCCAGTGTATCTACCTCTCCCCCTAGCTTAGTGTCATCTGCAAACTTGCTGAGGGTGCAATCCATCCTCTCATCAATAAAGATGTTGAACAAAACCCATCCCAGAACTGACTTTTGGGGCACCCTGCTCGATACTGACAGCTAACCTGACATTGAGCCATTGATCACTACCCATTGGGCCTGACAATCTAGCCAGCTTTCCATCAGTGCAAGTGACATTTGGTAAGCGAGTGAGTTGCAGTAATTTAGTTTTGCAAACTAGCTGCACTTTAACAAGTGTAGCAGAAGTACGTATTTGGTTGTATATTACCTGAAATCTCAGGCATGTGGAGGTAAGTTTAGTCATAGGCTGTTATTTTATCATCTGTATGGCAATTTTCCTCAGAGTTGCAGGTGCTGTTCTTTGAAAATGTGGAAATATATCTCTCGAGATAACCCTGAGTGTCAGAAGACACTTAAGGCCAGATTTTTAAAAGGCACTTATGTGCTACCACCCACTGGAATCAATAGGAGTTAGGAGCAAAATATCTTTTAAAATCTGCTCAGTACACACTAGTATTACATACCTACCAAAGTAATATTTTCAGACTTGGTTGCCTAAAATTAGGTACCTAAACCCAAACTTAGGCCCCTAAAGAGGCCTGATTTTTTAGAAGTGCAGAGCACCTGCAGCTCTCCTGACTTCAGTGGCAGTTGTTGTTTCTCACTATTTCCTTTAGGCTATGTCTAGACTGCAAGCCTCTTTCGAAAGAGAGCGTCTAGACTGCACGTTGAACTTTCGAAAAAGCGGCTTGCTTTTTCGAAAGAAAGCATCCAGTGAGTCTGGATGCTCTCTTTCGAAGAAGCCCTATTTACATTCAAGAACGCCTTCTTTCGAAAGAGGAACTTTCGAAAGAAGGCGTTCTTTCTCGTAAATTGAGGTTTACCGCCATCAAAAGAAAAGCCGCGTTCTTTCGATTTAATTTCGAAAGAACGCGGCTGCAGTCTAGACGCAGGTGAGGTTTTTTCGAAAAAAGGCTACTTTTTTCGAAAAAACCCCTGAGTTTGGACACAGCCTTAGATATCAGCATGAGCCCGTGCACTGGTATTGGATTTGAAACTGCGTGCATCTGGCGCAGAAGTGAGAGTGGAGCCAGCCAAGTGGCACTGGTGCCTTGTCTAAGCATTTGTTGATTTTGGCAAGCTGTGCTCTTACCACGCATTCCTCCAGGCCCCAGGGAGCTGTGATGTACACCTTACTTTAACAGAACCTCTCAAAACATCCTGCCTCGGTCCTTGCATCTCCGGTATCATATGGCAATAGCGCAAAGGCAGCAGATACACTTGGACCTCCATACTCCAGATGTCCCTAATCTGGAAATGCCCATATTATGGAGGAGAAGTGGCTCTGTGCAGTGCCACTCCCTCCACACCTCAGCTGGGGGACGGCAGTGCAGTGACACACTTCCCCTGCCACTTTTCCCTGCCACTCCCATAGCCTCAGGGGGCTGTGCCTAGGAGCAGCGGGGGGGGGGGCGGCGTTACGGAGCCATGTGTGACCCTGGGAGAGGATGCCAAAAAAGCCCGCCCATCCCCATCCCCTCACGTCCAGACCCTACAGTGCCCTCCCTGTTTCCCAGGGTTGCAGGATTAAAGGGGTTCAAGTGTATAACCTCCTATGGCTGATTTTGTGTGCTCTGATTTACTCTGCTCCAACCCCCACTAATCTTTCAACTCAGCTCGTGTGACACTGCACACAAAATCAGCAACCTCAGAAGATCTACTTCTTTATGCAAGTGTTTCGCAGGAGTCAGATCCAGGGTATCTATAAATCATTGCAGCTCCACTGAAAGCCATTCTCATTAGCTCATTAGCACTGAGGACATGCTAAGAACTGTATGAGACACAAAATCACAGGCACTGCCTACCCTAAGGAGATTTCTAGTCTAAAATGATTGAAGCAGGGAATTAAAATGAAAAAAGTTTATGAATGGTTAGAACATTTTCAATAACTTACCACACAGTAACCCTTCCTCTCTAATCAGCCTGCGAGCCATGAGAAAGGACTCTGTGTCATTGGACTTGCACCACAGATCCACCACCTGAAAGGAGGGAGAGGAAGATTATTAGGGTCCTAGAAATGTTATTTGGGGCTCTCTGCTTCTGGTGCATTCTACTGTGTGTAGGAGGCCTGGTTTTCAGAGGTGCTGAGCACCTGCAGCTTCTGTCGGTGTCAGATCACTTCCCCTGTGCTATAATATGAATACATATGGTCAGGAGGGCTGACAGCCTCCGTGGGCCCGTGAGCAAGGTATGGAGGGGCCAGTTCCAGGCTCCTGGAAGGAGCTTCAGGCACAGAGGTGAGGCTGGGGCAACCAGCCCTGAGTGTTACCTGGTGTGTGCCATGCCGGTGCCCCTAGCGCCGCACGGAGCATTCTGCACAGGGCCCAAGCAACCCTCAGCACTGCAGTGCCATGCACCTCCCCCCTCCCCCCAGCCCTTAGAGCTGCACAGAATGCATGGTGTGGTAATCCAGCAGTGATTTAAAGATCCCAGAGCTCCGACTGCCACTACCACAGTAGCAGCCGCCAAGAGCCCTGGGCCCCTTTGAATCATCAGCAACTGCCTTCTTCGCCTCCCCCTGCCCCCGTTGGCAAGCTTACATAAGGCAAAGTACCTATAGGCTTCAGCTTCCACTGGCATGAATTTTACCTACATCGACACCTCATATGCTCCTGCAAACTCTACAGAAGTAAAAAAACTCCGGTCATCTGAAGAAGTGGGTTGTGCCCACGAAAGCTCATGATACCCTCTACATGTTTTGTTAGTCTATAAAGTGCTATCAGACCATTTGTTGTTTTTTAAGTTTATAGAAGTAAAATAGTTAGCGTCAAAAGTCTTTTGAGTAGCAGTGGGTTGAAGAAGTGCTCAGATCCCAGTCTGGGTCAGAATTAAGTGAGGGTTCAGGGTTTTGCTGAATCCAGGAGACAATCAGAGGTGCTAATGGCTTGCCAAGTACTTTTGTGGTGATTTCAGGCCAAAGCTCTAAGGATGGGCTCAAATTCAAGCGCGGTTACTCAGCCACATTAAAACGTAAAGGGGTTCAGAGGTTCTGATTTTGTGTGTTACTCTGAGAACAAGCTTTCTGTGGGAGACAGGAAGTGGGGAAGAAGGACACTCAGACTAAGCGAGGGCTGTGAAGAACTCCAACTGGTGGGTGAGGGAGTTGCTGTGTGAAGAAGGAAGTGAGATGATGTTGTTTTACTTTTGGCAATTGGTTTAATATAACTGGCTCTTTGCTTGTCTGCTGTGTGTTATAGATTGTAAGCTCTTCCAGGCAAGGTCTCTTGACTCTTCCATAGGTGAGTGAGTGCAGCTTGTGAAGATTTTTCCCCTCGATAACTTTAATCTAGCTAACTTAGGGTTTACTGGGCTTCAAATAGCTAGTAACAATAATGAAAAGCACTAGAACCTATGACTATTATTAACAAGGCAAGAAGAACTGCCTGAAAGTTTGTAAAGACAGACAGAATGACGGAGTGCAGCACTGCAGTGCTATTTCTAGTTCTTTCTTCAGTTTGGCTTCTCCCTCCAGCTCATTTAGGTCAGACAGTGCTTTGGCAGGTTCTCATCCACCACCCACCTTCTTTTGCCTTCGTAACTAATTAAACTAAACTTTCAACAATTAGAGATGAGCCAGAACTGGACCCTGGATGTGAATATGGGGATGGTTTGGTCCAAGAGCAAACTTCATGCCTGGGTCCTACTCCCCCAATCCTCATTTCTTGTCCTGGTGCTACTTACTGATCTGTCAAGCACAGTTGGGATAAAGTCATGTCCAATCCCCTCCACTTCCATGGTTGCATCCTTTGCTGTGTTCAGCTCACTAGGCAGAGCGACAATGGAGCCTTCGGGATCTACACCAACAATCTGAGAAGGAAGAAACCCTTGTTAGCCACACCAAGAACTAGAAACATGAAGCAGAAACATCAACAATGAAAAAAGTTACCTGTGTTCAAATATTTGGTTGCAACACATTTTTCTTTCCAAAGTATGAATGAAAATTTCTGTCCACTGCCATGAACAGTACCTTTCTCCTGGTTTTTTTCCTCCTCATCTGCTTTACTAAAAGTCTGCAGGATTAGTAATGGGCTGTAGACTGCAATGTTCCCTCTACCCCGTCCATATGCGGATTTTTCCCATCCATGTGCAGAATAATTTTATGCACTGAGGCATGTGTGAATGTGCACCACCAGTAGAAACAAAAAAACCTAGATGTGGGTGCTCTGCTGCGTACCATTTGAATTTCTCTGAGTTGCTACACAAGCACACAGCTTACAGGAAATACTTCACGGAGCCTTGCACCTCTGTGTCACTAGTGTGAATCCAACTCATGTTGAGTGTAACTGAAAGTTATCATCAAAAGTGAGCTGCAGCTGCATACTTCCTAGTTCTGAAAAAGCAGTTAGGCAGATGCTCTAATAATGAGGCTCAATCAGCTGCAGCTGAGCTAGTTCAAGAGCATTTCTCTAGTCATAGGAAAGAGCAGGAAAAAAAACACACACGGTAGCTACTAGCCCTCAATGCACAGGTCAGTCTTTCTACCTACTTTGCATTCTGGGCACTTCTCCTTCAGCTTCCTGCCAATGCCAGTGACGGTGCCCCCTGTGCCAGCTCCAGCCACCACCATGTCGACCTTGCCTGTGATTAAATGAAGAAAGATGAATTTAGACTAGAGAATGGAAATGTTCCCCACAACTGATTTCTTCTGTTATGCCACATCAATAGGTAATTTACAAATGTTCTGGTGCACAGTAGGGATGTAAGCGACTAGTCGACCAAAAGGGGTGGAGAGCGGGAGCAGGTGCTGCAGGGAGCTGCCTTAAAAGCCGGTTCCCCCCAGCACCATCTCTGTGGGAGACAGGGGAGGCAGTGGGGTAGCGGGGACCAGGCGCAAGCCAGAAATCAGCTGATTCCCAGCTTGCGCCCAGTCCCAGACACTGTGCCTCAGCTTTTAAACTGTGACTCCCAGTTCTTACAAAAACAATGAGAAGTTCTGTGGCATCTTATAGACTAACAGATTTATTGGAGCATAAGCTTTCGTGGGCAAAGAACCACTTCATCAGGTGCATCTGATGAAGTGGGTCTTTGCCCATGAAAGCTTATGCTCCAATAAATTTGTTAGTCTATAAAGTGCTATAGGACTTCTCATTGTTTATGCAGATTCAGACTAACACAGCTACCCCTCTGATACTATTCTGCATTTGAATAGCTTGTTTACTTCCTGAAAAATAGACTTTCAGCATGCAGTCACTCTAATATTCTGGAATTGAAAGACTCCTATGACCTAACAATAATCATAATTACAATATTGTCAGCAAAAATAGGACTTAATCATTATGCAACAACATTTCTTCAAAGAACTGTGAAATTATCGAAGGATTCTGTGGAAATTTAATGTTATTTACTTAAATTTAATCAGTTTAGTAATCTTCTAAATTTAATTTTAATAGAATAATATGATTTAATTTTTCCTAATCATATTTCTCAGCATTATTCTGAGAAATATTAGATATATTTGTGCATCAAAATGGAGGGATCACGTATGCCCCAACTACAGTTGTAATCTATGGAGTGAACAAAGCTCTTGCGCCGGGTGCCCCCGCTGTGCTCCAGCTTCTTACATTTAAGTGTAAAGGCTGGAGCACAGCGGGGGCACCCGGCGCAAGACCAGAATCAGCTGGCCCAGCTCGTGCCGGGTCCCTTCTGCTGCACTACTGATTTTTAAATGTATTAAGAGCCTGCCACTGCAGCTCCCCCACTTATCGACTAATCCACTAATCAATGGAAAAGCCATCAACTGGTCGATTAGTTGATTAAACTAAATTTAACATCCCTAGTGCACAGAGACACTGTGCATGTCAAATGGACACACTTCACACCAGAAGGCAGAAGCTGTGAGGCGTTAATAAGCTTCACCCCATTGTGCTTTGATAGATCATTCGTTTGGCAACTCCATCTTTTTGGACAGCACCGTGTTGCTATGCTGCAGACATATTAAAGAGAGCACCCCCTGGTTTAGCTGGCTTTCACATCCAGCCAACAGAAAGAGCCGGATTCTGCTCCGATGACACCAATACAAGCCAGGAATAGCTCCACTGAAGTCATATTTCAATGAGGTAAGAGTGGTGGAAGAGAGAGAAGAACCAGGTCCTGAGAGTTTTAGGCTGTAATTACACCAGCAAACATGAAACACACTTCATTACTGGCTGCTGCCAGTGCTAGTATAGTGCACGGTATAGCATAGGCAGGGTTCAGGCTTTCTGGCCATCACTGTTAATTAACCCTGTTAAAACACCTGAGCCCTGTTTTCACTAGGTCTTTCACTCTTTCTACTACTGGTGATGGGTTCCATTTTTGCCCATGTAGACAAGGACTGAAACTCTTGGCTATTGGCTATTCCAGCCACCAGATTAAGATGGATTAGTCTCTGCAGCTCCTGCCAAATTTTGATCCATTTAATTTACTAATGATTTGGCTGGATCAGCTACAGTACACTGGTTACTCATATGGGGTGATACCCCTACAGCAGCCTCTTAAACCATTTAGTCCTCTTAACTCACCTATTACAGTGGTGCTACCATGACTGCAGAGAGCTGGCCACCTTCTGTGTGTCATCTGGCACTTATGTCATTTGTATATATTCCCTGTACGTAAAAGGGGCGCGGGCATAAAGGGCCATGAAAAATGTTCCCTCTAATCTTTTCCACCCATGTCCATATTTTTTCCATCCATGTGTGGAATAAAACATTATGCGCACCAAGGTGACTGCAAATGTGCACCACCAGTAGAAACAAAAACCTAGCTGTGGGTGCTCTGCTAATCAGCTGGGCAGCATTTGAATCTCTCCCAAGTGGCTGCACAAGCACACAGCTTACAGGGAACACTGGCCATGACTCCTCATTTTAAAACTGCGCCTTCCCATTTTTTACTGGCTCTAAGGGTGAGCAATGGAGGGAGGGAGATGAGAGGAGTGGCTGGTGAGGTTTGGCGGATAGGGCAGTGTGAGAGCCAGGCCTTGAGTGAAGAGGTGGTGTGAGGGGTGGGGCATTGGGGGGAATGGATGGTGTGAGGGCGGGACTCTGGGGGAGAGGTGAAGCAAGGGCAGGGCTTCAGGGGAATGAGCAGAGAAGGGATGATGCAGGGGCAGGCCTGTGGTGCATGGGGGTGGTGCTACCGTTTGGGCATCTCTGTTCCCCCTTTTTAGGGCACTTGCATGATGCCTATGTCATAGCTGAGCACAGTAGAGGCAGTGAGCTGAAGCCCCACTGGTTACAAGTGAGAGGAGACTGCTGGTGAACTCATTTCCATGTAGGGATCCACCTCTTTGCAATTTGCTTCCTCCCAGGGTCCAAATTAGCCCAAACGTGTTGAGCCTCAGGTAGGGCGACCATCATTCCCAAAGGGAAAGCGGGACACCACACCTGGCTGGCCCGAGACTCCCTCTCACCCCTCCTGTGGGGTTGGCCGAGATAGGGGCTGGCCCGAGCACCTTGACTGAACATCTCTCCCCTCACAAGGGGCAGGCTGGGCTCTGGCAAGTAGTGAGGCACATGCTAGATAGGGTGGCAATATTTCCCAAAGGCAGAGACTATCGTTGCAGCTCGCTTGAGCCTGCTTGCCCCACTCCCCACCGGAGCCCTGCTTCCTCCCACAAGGCTGGTGTGTCTGCTCACACCTCCACCTGCACTTTCCTCCAACAGCCCTACATCCCCATTTTTGACAAAAACGGGCATTTATGCCATTTGCTCTTATTGAAAGTTGGCATGTCCAGAACAGGGCTTGAGAAAAGGGACCGTCGCAGCCCACATGGGATGTATGGTCACCCCCGCCTCGGGGCACGTTGCTCATCTCTTTCGCTAGGCTTTGAGCACTAGAAGGGAATTGTAATTCCAAGGGTGGGGAATTGTTCAGGGAGGAGATGGGTCATACCAAATTGCTATGGCTAAGGTTAATTCAGAAAGATGTCTGCACTTATCAAGACCCTTTTTAGCCTTTCTATGTGTAAACAAGCTCATAAAGTAGCATAAGCCTCCCTCCGAGAGCTATGGTCTGTGCAATCAGTGGCTGAGAGAGAACAAACAGTACCTTCGCACTGCTCCAGGATCTCCTCAGCAGTGGTGTCGTAATGAGCCATAGGGTTGCTGGGATTCCGGTACTGTTTATTTCAACAGAGAACAGCAAATGTTAAAGTTAACAGGCTGGGTTCAGCTACTGAATTAAGAACAGCTACTGAGGTTTTTTACACAAGGCATAAATGCCCCTTCCTGGTCCTCCACAACATTGCACCACAATTCAAGCAGGCCCAGGGAAAGGAGCGTGGTAGCTAGTAACTTTGCATCTTGGGCCTTAGTGAGGTACTGCAATGTGTGGTGTGTTCTCTGGGGAGGGGCTACACAGAAGGACATGAATGTTGTCTCCAGCTATGTCCCTAAATCCAACCCAACCTCCCCACCCAAGACACAGATTGGTAGAAAGCTAGGTGTTAGCAATGCTGTTGGATGGCGCATCTTTTTATGACTGAAAACAGAACAGACAGAGCCCGATAAAGAGACGCCTGAGGGTGAGCTGCATGAGGTAATGGGGTGAGGGGGTGTAGCGTCTGAACAAGGGAATTCTGGAGGCATCACGCTGGCAGAGACTGGGAACAGGCATGATTAGGCACTAGGGGGAAATGATGCTCATAGGATTGCTGTGACACTGTAGAATAGGTGTTGTTTGTGCCTCCTCACCGTGCTGATCCCTTGCTACTGTTGGGTATCTATGGGGGTAAAGCCTCTGTGCCCTACTGAGACCTATTCCT